TCACTGTATCACATATCTCTCATAAGGATGTTTTTTCATGCAGTGTTTATGTAAAATGCATGCTCTTGTTTTTCAGGCTTTTGAATGGGCTGATATTTGTGCCACTAGAAGCTGAATATGAATTTTGTATATTTGAATCTGCAGTTATCCGCATTACAAAACTGAATCTGAATTCAATAGTTTGAATCTGAATTCCAGTAACTCGAAATAGCATTTATCCTACCTCGAAAATTTCAGTTCGCAAATTCAATTTCAATTTAGTGTGACACACATCCGGATCCTTGAGAAAAAGTAATCGACCGCAGATTCACAACGCAACTCATTTCCACGTTACAACAGTTCTGCAGGTCGGGGTAAAGAGGAGGCGTGCCGGGATATCAGAAAAACAAATGCTGGATTCGCAGGTTTGTCATTACCTTATGATACATATGAGAATAAGCTTTACATACATGAGCGATACATGAGCGATCACATAAACTTTAACCATACGTCTGGTTAGTATATGGTAGTATATGTGGTTACCCTTTGGCTCACTTCAGGGTCTTCCGGACCCAGTCGAAGCTTTCAAACATGGTGGCATCTTTTGCCACTACTTTCAGTTTCAGCTTCAACTTCTCTTTCTTTGCATTACATCACACATAAGGGATGACTTTTTGCAGTAAAGACGACATTTTTTATATTCGCGAATTGAAAAAAAAAAATAAAAATAAAAAATTAATAAAACTATTGCAACTGGGTCTGCCAGACCCATATGTTCTACGTGGTGCAGTGTGAAATTGAAGTGGACACAAGGTATGAACTATTTCTGGCACTTCTAGTTTATGTTAATATGGTAGACTAACGCAAAACTAGCTAGGGATATGAATTTTACTTCTAGTTTAGTTTAAGTTATGGCTTGCCTGTTCATCTCGTGGCTTTCCAGCAGTGTTTATGCGAAACATTTTTTTAAATATTCATTTCGCCGAAATGAGGCGGAAATAAGTATTAATTTTATAGGAGTATGTAATATTATTTAGAACTTCATAATGCATAGAGAATGTAAATATGACCAATAAATATTATAATTAAATGTATTAATGGTTTATTATTAATATTAAAATAAGAAATCTTTATTTTTAAATGTATTTTATTATATAATAATTACTGTTACTGTCTATCATTGTCTAAATGTATTTTTACTGTCTAAATACAGCGGGGAAAATAAGTATTGAACGTGTCAACATTTTTCTCAGTAAATATATTTATAAAGGATCTATTGACATGGAATTTACACCAGACGTCAGTAACAACCCAAGTAATCCACACATACAAAGAAATCAAAACCAATAAGTACGAAGTGCGCACTATGAAGTGCGCACTGGAAAGGGCATACTCAGTCCTTTACAGTTGTGTGCACAATAATACGAAAGTGCGCACTACGAAGTTGTGTGGACTCGATATGGCATACTCAGTAGAGTTACAGTTGGATTAGAGTGCGCACTACGAAGTACACTATGAGGGACTGAGTATGCCCTATCGAGTGCACACAACTGGATAGGACTGAGTATGCCCTTTACAATGCGCACTTCGTAGTGTACACTTCGTAGTGTGCACGTTGTAGTGCACACTTTGTAGTGTGCACTTCATAGTGTACACTTCGTAGTGTGCACTTCGTAGTGCGCACATCGTAGTATGCCCTTTCCAGTGTGCACTTCATAGTGTACACTTCGTAGTGTGCACTTCGTAGTGTGCACTTCGTAGTGCGCATGTCGTAGTGTGTGCACTCGATAGGGCATACTCAGTAAGGTTACAGTTGGATTACAGTTACCATTAGATTTAGGCTTAGCATGTTTACATAAGCACTGAAGGTGTGATTAGGATTATAGTTATAGCTTATGTTAGAGATAGAATAAGGGCTAGGGTTACTGCTATGGTGGTCATAGTCTTACGGCTATGATTAAGGTTGTCATAGGGTTTTGAGATTTGAGATATACAGTAACATATAGTGTAACATTCAACATTGCTGCATCCACATCCATCCATCCATCCATTTTCTCCCGCTTATCCGAGGTCGGGTCGTGGGGGCAGCAGTCTCAGCAGGGAAACCCAGACTTCCCTCTCCCCGGCCACTTCATCCAGCTCCTCTGGGGGGATCCCGAGGCGTTCCCAGGCCAGCTGAGAGACATAGTCCCTCCAGCGTGTCCTGGGTCTTCCCCGGGGCCTCCTCCCAGTGGGACATGCCCGGAACACCTCACCAGGGAGGCGCCCAGGAGGCATCCTA